TCCTGGCTGTGAGATGGGTCAAAGTAACCCTGCTCTTGGAGGGTTAATCACGATTTTTCTGAAGACAATTCAAGAATAGGTTTCTCCAGTGAGGTAACTTCCACAGTATGTACTTATAATCATGTAGCTTAACAGATTGATATCACAATGCAATGACACTGAAGCTCGCGGTTATATGAATTACCCATTTAATCTGAGACAAGTTACAGCATCTCAACGGAACAACTCACAATTGTGTATCTTTACTGCCGGTACTAACCACGAGAATTGTGTTATCTTAGGCCATTTTATATAAAAGGTAACGAAACATAGCAGTTGTTACGCTTAATTGGTCATCCAGTATGACAAAAAATCATTAAAAGTCGTGCAATGCAAATCCACTATCAGTTTTCGCTATTAAAGAATTCGTATGGATAACTTAGAAACGTAATTAATTTTGGATTTAATTTTTTGCTCTGCGTGACGTGTATTTCAACACTGTATACTTAGTGTATGCCCCCAAAGGCTTGTGAAAAAAAAACCACAAGCATACTCGGGTGGGACTCGAACCCATGACCTCCTGCTAACTAGTGCGAACGTCTTAACCACTCAACCACCGAGCTTGCCGGTGTCGACTGGCTGGTTCGAATCAGCAAGCACAGTATACCAACCAACCAATATACAGTGTTGAAATACACGTCGGGCAGGACAAAAATCCAAAATTAATTTCTTCTCCCTGGCGCAAATCCATCTGTGAAATAACTTAGAAATGTATTTTATGGTTGAAGAGGCTAGTGGCATGAAAAATTTTAAGTTTTGGAGCCTGCAGCGAATTTTTGGAGAGCAATGTGTCAGCATTTTGTTTTGAGAATTAAATCTTTCTTGCAGACTCAAAAGGTGAGAGCGAAGTGAAAATTACGGGCATAAATCTAGTTCAGAGTTCAGCTGCTGGAGGTTTCTCGACATGGAAAGTTGCCTCAAAAGCAGTAGACGGTCGAGTTGATGACTCTAATTTTCTCGGTAAAGATGGATCAGAGTATGGTGGAAGCTGCACCATAACAGGTAAGCTGGATTGCTTGTATCTCCGCTCTCTTAGGCAGCCAGAGGTTGAGTGAAGTAGTGGACATGCCCCTAGCCTTAAATGCCTATGCCCCACGCGAGTATACCTGTGGTCAGTTTTAGACTAAGATCGAAAGGCTAAAGATCTTTCTCATTATATTTTGAGCGCTTAAATACCTGATGTCGTTATACAGATATCAAAACCAACATAGTCGTTGTGTCAAAAGGAATAATATCAATTACATGAATTGTCAAGATGTACTTTGCGTTGGGCAGATGTTAATTTTAAATACGGGTTTATGCCCTTACCCGACGTATGTAAACACTGTCCAAGAGCTTGCGAAAAAAATCACCAACTTATACTCGCGTGGGACTCGAACCCACAACCTCCCGCTTACTAGTGCACACGTGTACACTTATGTGCAGAACATACAAAATGATTTGAAGTATCCATATTTTGCACCACTAAGAATGGCGCTAAGGAGTAAACCTTGTCCCATTATCTTTTTAGAGTCGACCATGAATCATTCCTATATTGCGCTTCGATTCCCTATTGACTATTTGATATTCAGATTCCGAGAGCAATCCTTATTGGGGAACTGTCTTTGAAGAGGAAATCTGCATCAGCAGAGTCAGGATTTTAAATCGTGGAGATGGCTTCAGTAAGTAATGACTGACTTTACACAGGGGAATTGATAGTTATCATTTAGGACAGAGTTGATGTAGCTTTGTAACTGATGGCTTTCCCTGTGTGGCAAAGAATAAATAAGACACGGACATGTACAGCAACGCGGCATATCTCGGCTCCATCGCACACAGACTTTTTTGTATTTTGTGTAGAGTTAAATGCATGTGTAGGCCTGTATGGAGAACCATGGTTAGAGCCAGGGTTCTTAAAAAGTAACTTTAAAAGTCCATGGCTGAAGTACAGACGAACGTCGCTTTTAGTGGACGTCTATTTCATTGTTTCTATATATTACTTGGTCAACTGATGGTCCAATGCTGGTACTCCAAAAATACTCTGCATCAGTTCAATGCGTTTGCTACTCTTCTGCTAAAATTGGGTGTTGCCGATACATCTGTTTTGGAAGAGTCAGTATACTCCTGACATCCGACCGATTCTTGACCAAACTCTAAATGATACACATTGAAAAATATGTTTAACGTTTTACCCCTAGGTGAGAAGCTGACAGGTGCAGTGGTCCAGTTCGGTGTTAAACGAGTTCTACAATTGGGAACAAACCCTACTTGTGGATCACCAGTGACCGCTGAACAAGCTGCAGTTCCTGGAGGGACGATTGAATTTGAATGCAGTGAACCAATCAGGGGAAGGTTTCTCATGGTCGGTATCCCAGCCGACAATGCTACTTTACAATTGTGTGAAGTTCGAGTTTGGGCGATACCCATGGACCAGTGTCCTGCAGGTAAGACGAGTCAGTCATCCTTTATGTAGTGGTGCCAGGAAAACGAGTACCTTTTGTGTTTTGATAATTCAAAGAAGCTTGCTCTGATCTTTGTAACGGCCGTCAGCAAGTGCGATGCCAGCCCTTACGCGATTTCTGTGTTATAAGAAGCCATTACCGCAAGATCATCAGACTCACGCAGGCGCCTTACCCGTGCGACTTCACGCCGGCTAATCTTTATATATGTACCCAATTTGGTCACCGAGGATAATAATGCACTTGGCAACAGGATGGCTTAGCCACTGTATTTGTCTGTCGCTAGCCGCAATCACACCAAATTGGCCTCCCTGCTGTGTTTTAATGCGTTGTGGTTTTTGTATTAAATTTTAATCGTTTTTCGATCAAATCTGTTTATTATTTCCTTTTTTATGAGCTTTTAGGTGACATCACTACTGACAAACTCTAATGACTTGTATTAGCATTTAGGAGAGGAAAAAGCTTCGGAAGTAGATTTTCAGATTTTGTTTCATTGTACTAGGTAATGTAAAAAAAAATGGCAACATGGCTGAGTACTTGCTTTATTCATTTATTGATCTGAAATCCATTACTTTTGTTTTTACTACTGGGCCAGTTGACCTGATGATTTTTTTACTTTTTACAGAATTTACGGGTGAGACAGAATTAGATCTCAACGAAAATCCTGTAGGACAGTCCTCCGCCGTTGGAGCTGAAAGTGCTGAGGAAGCTGCCAAAAACGCTATAGATGGTCAATACGATAATACGAAGCTTCTCGGTGTAGGAGGAGAAATGTATGGCGGAAGCTGCACAATAACAAGTAAGCTTATTTCATGTCACGTTCTTGCAGTATGTCGAATTTAAAGAGACCTTGTAAATTCAAAATACCAAATCATTCACCACAAATTAACACAAGGGTACCTCTGATTTGTGCTCAGTTAAATATTAAAACAAGCAAAAATGATAAATCTAAATGTTATCCCTGTCAGAAATATAAGTTAATGCAGTTTCTCTCCAACTGTCTTTTCAGAAGATGAAAGCAGGTTTCTTCCGAAATGGAGTCCGAGTTCATTCACTGATTTACATACTAAGCCCTTATAACATAGACAATTGGACTTTTGGAGGAATTGGAAGTATAATAATGTTTGAAGTATGGGTGTATGTAGTTCAAGGAGAAACGGACAGTTTTAATGAGATCATTTAAAGTCTAGCAGTTTTACGACGTGTTTATTCAGAAATACAAATTTAAAGATACTAAACTTTCTGAATGTTTGTTTTGGTATTCAGAACCAGAGGAGAATCCTTATTGGGGAATGCGTTTTTTCAAGGAATACTGCATCAGTAAGATCAGGATTTTGAATCGTGGAGACGGATTCAGTAAGTTAGTCCAGGCATAGTTGATGTGACTTGATGGCCAGAGGCGGACCCTTCATTTAAACTTATGCTGCTTTTGCTTGATGTACTGTAATTGTTATGTTTGAAAAGAGCGCAATTAAAAAAAAAAACTTCTCACGTTTTATTTCCAAAGTACATTTAAGTAAAATGTTTGCGATTAGTTCCAAGCTAACTGCTGAGTTAAAGGTTTATTTCATTAGACAACTTTTTAAATAGTAGGTTGTTGACAAAATTTTCATGTCAAATATAAAAGTTCATCATTTAACATTGGTGATTCGAGAAGTTCTTCTGCATCTGCTTTGTAATCGGGGAACGTTCCCTATGGAGAAAAATGAATACTGGTTTAGTTAATATTCATACCAGAATGCCGTAACAGCACTTGTACAATTCTTTACAAAGCTTGAATTTTATAACCGTTCCGAATGATTTAAAAGTCCATATCACTGGGCAGCTTGTGTCAATCTGCAAAAACCTGTAGGTGAAACCCAACTCATGGCTGAACATTGGCAAAGCCTCTTTATTTCACCCTTTTTCTAAGCAATGTTTCTGACATTTCCCTCTGTAGGTGAAAGATTGACAGGTGCAGTGGTCAGGATTGGTTCTGAAAGGACCACTGACTTGAATAAAAACATCGCCTGTGGATCGCCAGTGACGGCTGAACAAGCCGCAGTACCAGGAGGAACGATTGAGGTTGAATGTAGCCACCCAATCAAGGGGGATCTTATATTCATCGGAATCCCGGCTGACAATGCTACTTTGCAGCTGTGTGAGGTTCGAGTTTGGGCGGTTCCTGTTGAACAATGTTCTCCAGGTTTGCTTTTATAAATAAGTTTTACCTTACTCTTTGTGCAGCCAACAATTAATTAATCTAATTGTTGTGCTTATTACTGGAAAAGAGAGTTTTATTTTCCTGCTTTGAAACCTGTATGAGTGTAACTACAATCTTACTGAAGCGGCGAATGTTCCAGTGGCGAATGTCCAAGCGAACAGGACGCTTTCAGCTTTAAATAATACAAATACAATCCTCTACAGCAACACCTGCCAGCTTTTTCGAGACTAGTTTTCCCCAGCAGAATTTCCTAAAAATCTTAACTGGAAAAAGTTTTTTTTTCAGTAAGATTTTTGTTCTGGTGTTTTTTTTTAGATTTCGACGAGTGTAGCAGTGATCCGTGTCAGAATGGAGCTACATGCGTGGACGGTGTCTTTGAATTTTCGTGCACGTGTGCAGCCGGTTTCACTGGACCTCTCTGTGAAGATGGTAAGTAAAATCTGTAACAATGCCAACAGTTAATTCTGTGTTGTCTTTGGAAAAACCAAAAAGCTTTTTTATTTCTGCTCCAGTGTTTCGTTTCCTCTAAATCTTTCTCACCAGTCGCTAAACCAAATTGTGGGATGACTTTTCCTCCAAGTTTAAGCTAAACAGCTTGCACTTAGAAAGGAGCAGCCATTTATGAGTTTGACAGGACTCTTTGCCTGATTAGTGCATTTATTCTGAAGTGAACAGTTTAAGCTGTAAGTTTGCCCTCGTTTATCACATTTTCTGAAGCCCCATTATTCCAGTGCTACGCTTTTGCATCGTGTACTCAGATTTAGACGAGTGTAGCAGTGATCCATGTCAAAATGGGGCTACATGTGTGGATGGTATCAATGAATTTTCCTGCACGTGTGCTGCTGGTTTCCTTGGATCTCTCTGTAAAGATGGTGAGTGGAATTTATTTTTAATCCAGAGGATTAAAGTGAAATCTGAAATTGAATTAAGCCTCTTTTATTCAAATTGCCCAATTCTCCACATCAACAGTTTTTTCGAATGGTGTCCTCGTTAGGGTGTCGACAGCTTTCACTCTGGGGTAATCTCCCAAAATTTGATGCGTTCATCCAAATTTGTCAATGGCCAATTTTCATCAGTGTTCTGTGTCTGCCTTGGGTGTCCTCAGATATTGACGAATGTAGCAGTGATCCGTGTCAGAAGGGTGCTACATGCGTGGATGGTATCAATGAATTTTCTTGCGCATGTGCTGCTGGTTTCACTGGACCTCTCTGTGCAGATGGTAAGTCGAATTTACAGTTATTCCACAAAGTGTAAGTGATTTCTGGGGTGTTTCATATGTCAGATTGTCCTTTATTTCTGTTTCTTGATATTCTTTCCTCAATCCTTGTTACTACATTTCATTTGTCCATCAGAAAGTCAACCATACTTTTAGTGTTGTGGTAGTTTTAACTTTTATTGATCCTGCACTGAAAAATCTGATATCAAGTTATCACACTGATTTTTGGTCTTTTCCGACAGATTTGAACGAGTGCGACAGCAATCCTTGCCGGAATGGTGTCTGTATTGAAGGTGTACTGATTTTTGGTCTTTTCCGACAGATTTGAACGAGTGCGACAGCAATCCTTGCCGGAATGGTGTCTGTATTGAAGGTGTGAACAGTTTCACTTGTGAATGCTCTCCAGGTTACGAGGGTGCCAACTGCGAAACAAGTAAGTCGCCCCTTCATTCCAGAGCCATTTTATCACCATAATTATTTGTAGTTGTAACACGTTTGCTTGGCCTTATACCTTCAACGGCGTGATTTCGGACACTATTTATGAGACACACATTTTACACGCATTCCTCTCCTTTAGATATTGACGAATGTGTCAGTAATCCATGCCAGAATGGTGCTACTTGCGTTGATGGTATCAATGAGGTTTCGTGCACTTGCGCTGAAGGCTTTACTGGATCTGTCTGCCAAACAGGTACAAACGTAGGTCTAATATATACGTACAACCCCTCATCTAAACACGATCCACCGTGGATTATTCGATATTTGATCTTTAAGTTTCACTGTGCAAACGTCGCTCTAACAAACAATAAAGCAAAATCATGCCTCGATATTTACTGCTAGCTTGTGATAGGAGTGATTGAAGAGATATCATAACAAAGGGGTTGCGAATTGTTGAAAAAATTGTAAGAAATGTGTGATTTCTAAACAAGTTTTGACTTCCTAACTCCAAAGGTATTTATCAAAGCGAATAGATACGTCCGTCAGAAGTTGATTAATAAATACATCTATGCCTTGGACGTTTCTTGGACGCTGAGAGTACCCTCGCCTGCGACTTGGGCATCAGTCACGTCCATTCGTACCAGCCAAGACCGTACTTACTCTCTTTAAATTGTGTACAGGAGAAGTGGATGTCCAGGTATGATTCCAGGATAACGATGACTTTTTTACAGATCTAAAGGAGTGTAACAGTAATCCTTGTCAGAATGGTGTCTGTATAGAGGGTGTCGGCAGTTTCACTTGTGAATGTTCTCCTGGATACGAGGGTGCAACATGCCAAACAAGTAAGTCGCTCCTTCAACCTTTAGTTGTATTTTTCACTATCTTTGTCACACCTCCTTTGCATATCTTGATGTCTTTAATTTCCCAATTAAGGATACATTCTTATGAGCTTTTTTCTTAGAATGCATTTTGCTTGTATTTCTGTACTTCAGATATTGACGAATGTGTCAGTAATCCATGTCAGAATGGGGCCACATGCGTTGATGGTATCAACGAGGTTTCATGCACGTGCGTTGAAGGCTTCACTGGATCTGTCTGCGAAACAAGTATAAATCCACCAATTCTTGTGTGGTGTTTGTTTTATGTCTATTCACCTCTGTCATTCTTTAGTTCAATGCAAACTCTTACAGGCCCGCAATGGAATATTCTACATTGTTTGTTCAAGTTCATGCGTGGATAGTGTCGACGAGGTTTCATGTAGATTTTCCGCTAGAACTGTCGGCAATATTGGTAATCACTTCTACCTTACCCCGATATTTGTTTTAATGGTAAGCTAAATGTGGTCCTGTACAGGAAAACTGAATATCCAGTAGGGCAAGCAGAACAAATAAATATTTAAAGCCTTTTTTTCTACAAACATCAAGTAGTGCAGCAGTAGTCTTTAATAGAATGGTGTCCGTGTAGAAGGTGTTGACTTGCAGTTTTAAAGAGTAAAATTGCCCTCGGCTATTTAGGACCAGAAATGCGATTTTTCAATGCCTCAATTTTAAGTGCCACGCGTCTTTTTTTCCCCCTAGATGTCGATGAATGTGGCAGCAATCCATGCAGGAATGGAGGCACGTGCGTAGATGGTGTCAACAAGGTTTCGTGTTCTTGTGCTGCTGGATTTACGGGAGTTGCCTGTGAAATTGGTAACTACTTTCATGCTTTATCGGAACTGGCTTTTATTACTTTGCTTACAGGAGAATTGAATACACAGGTATGGCTCTCGCGATAAATGACTTATTATCGGTCTGTTTAGCAGATGTCAAGGGGTGTGATGACACTTCTTGTCAGAATGGTGTCTGCATGGAGGCGGCTGACGGTTTCACTTGTAAATGCTCTCCTGGATACGAAGGTGCTAACTGCGAAACTAGTAAGTTGCTTTATTTAGTAACCATGTTAGCCTCTTCGTCAGAGTACCCCCATTTTTCAAAAGTTGTTCCTTCAAGGGACCGATTCAGGAGGCCATTTTATGGGTTTTTCGCGGGAACAAATAATTTTTTTTCTTTTGTTCTTTTCTTTAGATATTGACGAATGTATTAGTAATCCATGCCAGAATGGGGCCACTTGCATTGATGGTATCAACCAGGTTTCGTGCACATGCGTTGAAGGCTTCAATGGATCTGTCTGTGAAACAAGTACGATCCCACCATTCCCAGTGTTGTGTCACTTCATCTCATTATCTAGGTCACTTTTCTGTAAGAAGTAAGCAAATCTCTGTCGGGTAGCCATGGGACATGTAACAATTGCTAGTTGAATCTTTTTTCAAAAACGAAACTTCATATTCCTGTCCCAAACAAAGGGAAGAAAGAAAAAACGAAGCTAACGTAACAGTGAAGTATCTGGTGCTGTACGTATACTTCGACGCTCAACGCTCGCTCCGTCAGAGCTTGAACATGTGATTTCAAACGCTACTTCAAAACGGCTGGAACCAGCGAAACCAAAGTTTAAGCCGAATCGACTCGTTTCGAAAACGCTCACCTGCATGTGGAGTATATGTGTGCAGTGGGCTTGGTTTAAACTGAAGTGATGTCACACTTACGAACCGGATAGTAACATTGTGCATGAGTGTTAACAATATTACACAGGCGATAACTGGCTTATTTTATCTTCAGTGTCCCTCGGAATTATGAATATATATAATTTTTAAGACTGGCTTATCACATGGACATAAATTCTAAAATTCATCTTTCGCACCCTGTTTGCAGTTGCATCAAAGACCAATGGATGCACCCTTAATCCATGCGAAAATGGTGTGTGCATTAGCCAAGGTATGGATGGTTCCAAGTGTGCATGTTCTCCAGGTTACGAGGGCGCCAACTGTGAAATCAGTAAGTTCGTTTGTGATACATCTAGCTGAAGCTTTTTCCTCTTACACAAAAAGAAAGTTTTACAGAAAATATGATAAGCCATATTTCTTTGTATTTTTCTAGTTACAGTAAATGGCACATCCATTGGGCAACCCTTTTTTCAATTTTGCATTTCCCAGATATAGATGAGTGTTCCAGCAATCCATGCCAGAATGATGCTGAGTGTGTGGACGGTATCAACAAGGTGTCATGCATCTGTGCACCGGGGTTTTGTGGACAGCTTTGCCAAAATGGTGAGTTTATTTGTGTATATGTTTTGACAGGAAAAGGGTACACCTACAGAGAAGGGGCTGAAAGGAATTGGAAAGTGATATTGGCATATAGAAATGTAAGTCAAGTCTGTTTCCTTGCAAGATATACAACTCACCACGATGATGATATGGTGACGTAATAATATTGATGTTTCTAATCACAACAGAACAAGGCCAGGGACCCTCTGAAAACTTGCCTCAGCCACCCATATACCCCGCAGGTATGATAGTTAAGTCAGTTTGGAATACAATTATTATCGTGAAGTTTATGTACAAACTACATATACGTGTGTGAGACTGTCAAGAATGTCATTATTTTCCCGCGCTTTTGTTGTGCTTGTTTCTGGGTGCTAGTTTTATTGTACTCACCGAGAATGCCCCAGAGTCCAACAGGTTGGCTCCAAAGACAAACTGTCAGATAATTTCAATTTATATCTAACAAAGTTAAAGATTCATACATCCTGTAATTTCTGTGTCAATCATAAACACTTTTTCCCTCAGGTGCAGGGAATGTTATACAAACATCCTACATGCAAGTGAACCTTGTCACTGAGTACTGCGTCAAGAAAGTCATCGTTCACAAACGTGCAAACTGCACCAGTAAGTAAAAATTTTAATTTTAGGCTCATGTAAAATTATACTGATTAAATACTCACCAAAAACACATACAAAATTAACACGCTTCTTCCGGGGGTTATAGGAGGGCAAACTCAAGGGAAACATATCTGGGGGATTATAGTTGGCATTTATATTTAATTGTCTAAAAAGAGTAAGATGGTGAATTACATTTTCATATCAAGACTTTATGTGCATCTTTTGACAGGACTTCTTGCAACAAAGTAATTTTTAGGAGGTTACATTAGTACAAATGGCTATTACTGTCTGAGATTGTGCTACTGATTGTCGAGTGCTTCATAAGCACATATGTTGCAAATGAAATCATGGGCCAGAATCTTGGCTATAGCGTAACATTCTTATGTCAATTAAATTCTCTTTCAACGATAGGTGAGCATCTGACCGGTGCTGTAGTCCGTGGTGGGACCAGCTCTACCAGTCTGAACAATGGTGTTTGTGGCACTCCCCTGACCGCCCGGCAAGCTGAAGTTCCCAGATCTACCGTAGACTTCATCTGTGACCCTCCCATGACGGCCAAGTTTGTCACTGTAGACATTCCACTGTTGAGAGTCAGTCAGAAACCGCCATGTGAAGTGACAATTGTGCAGGCAACGCCTGGACCTTGCTAGAATTCAATCGGCTAACGATAGTTCAACAGGAGCGCTATAATAATCATGATAATGATAATGATCAATTGAGAATAAATCACATTGGTTCCTAATGCATGTATTGAATTTTTCATTTTTATTTTCCGAATTTGTTTTCATTTGGCAAGCTGATTATAATGTTTAGGTTCATAACATTGAGAATGCCAGCTTATATATACGTTTTAATAATTCTTCAATTGAAGTAAATTTTTGTTCAAAATAGATATTGCTCTGAGGTCACACAAGCAACGAAAAATAGTGGAAAATATACCTATTTTGGCTGTTGCAATAAATATGCAGATTGTCTCATCATTAAATGAAACTGAACAAAAAGATAGGAGTCCGCGACAGTGACAATTTATTGTACCCGACGAAAGGACAACGGACAAATGCTCTATTTAGTAAATGCAGGTAGGACGCCATATTAGCAACATGATGTGAACATCATAAACCGATTTTAGAAATGATGACAAATTATTTTTTTGCGAAAGAAATTGTTTTGGGGGAAGGCTCAAGTCATCCTAGTTTTCAACTCATTCGGGTCTTCCAAAGAATGGGTTTTAGTCGAATCGAGTCATTCGCTCTCAGTGACTTGAGTCGACTCGCTGAAAATAGTGACTGTGTCGATTCTTTGACTCATTTCAACTCTGAAGTCTAAAATTGGAGCGTGTGCCGATAAGGGACCTAATTGGTTGAGGGGTTATTTGGTGGTGGGGCGCACTGTCGATTTTAACGTTGGTTTGAATATCTCACAGCGTGTGTAGTGAACGCTAGATGTTCTCGGTAATTCATATTTTCCCATAATACTCTCTTTCTCTGACTCACAATATGAGGAATAAATGCCACTTAAGACTACGCAAGGTGTTACAGAGAGGGCCAGATGATTTGTGCCCTTTAGCAAGGCGTCTTTTTTTTTACAATGCACGAAGCTAGCAAGTCGAGAGGGTCTTAACAGATAGAAGAGTGCTAATATCTACCTATTCGATTGGTAAAGGGCAAATAAAATCATATTTTGCATGTTTTTTGCATGTGATTTTCTCTTTATTCGATATTCCAGAAAGTAATGCTGTTAAGGATTACGTGTTTACATTTTCTTTGGTGCAGTGGACATATCTTATTTTTAGTAAATAAATAAGTTTAAAATTATTGTCACAGACTTCCATATTGTTTTCAATTTTGTTGTTTTATGTCATCTTGTCTTTCTGCTTGCATATATTTTTCTTCTTGAATTATATTATTGCTTCGATGTTATGACGCCACCGTTGAGACTACCAAATACTTCAGATCTATTTCACCATTCAAAAGTCTAATATGCGGCTCGTTTTCATCATTGTTAGAGTTTCTTAAATAAGGTTAAACGCGTCAGGTTTTGATCAAAATTTCCCTTTAAAAAGTCATTTTTCGGTCGACTCTGTGCTACTTCTAAAAGCAACTGCCTATGAGTGCCAAATTACCCAATGATCGGAGACTAATTTAAAGACCTTGAATTACATGATAAAAAATCTAAAAAAGAAGTAATAAAACATTATAGAATTACAAAATTGAAAGAGATCTATTTTGTTGAAATGACCCCCATTCACTGCTTCCTTACCGCTGAGCAGCGGTACAAGAGAGGTGATCTTATCCTGACGCACTACCATCCTCTTTTACACAAAGTGACCAATACATAGCTCAGAATAAACCGGTACAAAGGAAATTAGATCCTATACCCGTGACTCATTCTCAAGTCGGATTCATTATGCACCTGTTTTGCATGGCCACATTTGTTTTGCATGTTTGGTACAATAAATAGATTGTTGCATGAGCTACGGGGGTTTGCAGGTTTTTTAATTTACCAGTCAGTCTTGAATTAGGTTGGAACTTAAGATGGCCCTCGTTTTGGACTGCGCTTGGAAGATCCCTAATTTCCCCAATAGAATGAAATATTCAAAGACAAGAACAACAGCAAAAAGCCAAACAAACATAAGCACTGACAAAGTGTCCGCTAATTAACGTGCAAGATGGTGTCTCATGATAATCCTTGTAGGGAAACTCTCTCAACTGGAGAAGATCGGAGCTAGTGCATGTACTCTAAAGCCACTCACATGAAGCTGAAGAACGTCGTACGCCTGTAGTGGTATGGGCGTTTGCAGCGTCCTAACTGTATCCTGCCGGACCTGCAGGGCACAGGTGGTGACACAGTCTACTCATCTGGAATAGTTTCTAGATTCCTGGCAAATGATAGAGTGGTTGAGTCGCTCTGCTGTTATTTCTTTACTGGTGTTTTAGCCAGCAGATGATACACTTTGTCTCCAACGATAACATTATCTTCAGGGGGAGGGGCTGACTTATCCTGAGGAAATTCGTCTCAACTGGGTGAAGTTTGCTTCTACTTCAGTGATGACCAATTCTGAAAATCCTCACCTGTTATTATGCTCATTTATCAACCTTAAACCCTTATCAAGGGTATTTACTGTGCTTCCTGTTTTTACAATATTGCACATTTTTACTTTTCACATTTATGTTCAAGATAATTCAGTACCAGTGAGGAAAAACAGACAGCTTTTGTCGGCAAACGACTTGCTACGGCTGCGTGGTCACGGGATCTGCTAGCTTAGGCCTACATGTCTGAAATATGTCTAAATCTTTTCCCCGCAAAGATACCATCAGCTGATTGATGACAGCTTCAAGGTGTCGAGAAAATATATAAAATAGCCCTTTTCTTCTCAAGAGGCAGATATAAATCCAATACCATTGGTATAATATATGTTAACCATCTGATGACCTGTGATTTAAATAAATGCTAACTTAATAGGGACATAGTATGCCAGATATCTAACTGCAAAAAAAAATTCTCCTAATCAGTCTTATTCTCTCTCAATAAAAAAATCCTGCTCAGATTCAGTAGATTTCTCATTTTCTATTTTACACATCATGTCATGCACCTGGAGGAAAAATGGCCCATGTTAGGTATTTTACTGGGCAGGAACCCTCACACTGGTGTTTTTCAAGCTTGTATCGCTACTCATCTATTTCATAAACCTAAGGGAGGATTTTTTGAGCAGGACCCCAAAAGGTCAACGATCTGCACCGATAATTTTCCTTACTATATAGTTAGATGAGGTGACTATATAACTTTCTTCCTGATTGGCGACCAAGACGGAGGCGAAAAGCTGTTAAGTTGTGACTCAGTGAATTAAAGCTGATGAACTAACCTGACGGCAACTCAAGACAGAAAATCTGAACTGAACTGCATAAAGATGTCATTGCAATGAATTAATAAGATTCTAAAATCCAGAGAAAGCTGGATGATCTTGCTATAAGCACATTTATGATGCAAAACGGATCAATCTTGAAAGAGGAGATAATCAGCAAGGCAGTTGTAATCCCGACTTTGCAAATCTCTTTAGGCTTTGCTAACCACAGGATTGTGGACTAGTGGGACCACAAACAATTCATATATGCCTACGCTTCCAATGACCATCAACAGAACCAACAATAACCTTCAGAGGGGGACTTCAAGTCTGATTATCATAAGCGGTTGCCTGATCGAGTACAAAAAGATGGCCCATCACCAGACGTACTGCCTTGTAACAGCATGGATTTGGGAGTCTGATTACAGACAAAGATATTCTGTTTTGAGAGATCTGAAAATAAACCACGTTTATTTTATCTTGTTTGGGCGGTAAGTTTGCAGAAATGCCACTGTTTGTATGGTTCTGAATTTTACCTACAATTCGTTTACAATCGACATGTGTAACATTTATTTTGATGTTACATTTCAGTTTAGTATTTAGTATTACATGTCATGATTTGGTGCTGCGGTTGCAAGGAATGTTTAATTAGCATTTTGTAAATTATTCTTTTATATCTGTACTTTTATACTGACGGCCAACCATAGATTTAGCAGCCACCTCTCAGAAAAACACAATTGTGCCGTCAAAAGAGTAGGCGCTTTGGCCTATGTCTGAATCACTTGGCATTGGAATAGAGTTGTACGTAACATGGCTCCGGCTACGTCCGAGGAATCATGTGTAATTCGGACATAACCTGGCTAGCCAGCCAGATCACCTGACCAAAATAGTAGTAAGGCAAAATTTCGGAAGCTGCTTCGTTTATTTGTTGATACTGTTGTAAAAGTTTCCTCAAATATGCGGATTTACCTACGTGTACATCCATCATAAAGTTCATCATTTCTCTGTGATTTATTCGCATACCTCCACTTTTTGCACACCTGACTGTGCTGTTTCAAAGATGGATTTGCGGCGAGAGATGAGTGTGATTAGAACCAATCTCCCGACACCGGCAATCTTGGTGGTCGAGTGCTTAAGACGTCTGCACTGGTAAGCAGGCGGTTGTGGGTTCGAGTCCCACCCGAGTACGCTTGTGTTGTTTTCCCCACAATCCTTCGTGGGCATACACTGAGCATTCAGTGTTAAAATACACGTCGGGAAGGGCAAAAATTAATTTCATAGACTGTGGTAACTTTAAAACAATGGGCGTGGCTTGGGAGCCCCCAAATGGCTCCATTTTTAATTTTTGAAATGAACATAAAGTACGTCTAGGCTGCAGTTCATCAATTAATATTGGACAAAACGTATGCGTCCTGGTTCCCCGAAAAAATATCCTTGTGTACAAATCGGTACCAACGGCGAGTAGAGGTGGAGTACAACAAGGTAACCTAGATGACCTCGAACTGTAACAATAGTCAATGGACTCTGAATAAAGTAGGACCACAATAGGACGTTAGCTCATAATAAATCTTAGCGATACTTTGTGCGGTAGAACACCTCTAATACGTTGTTATAACCACTAGAATCGCATCACACAATCACGCTGAAGGTGAACTCTAGGCCTGCTCGGTGCTGCGCGCTGTGGTTTTTGTGCACTGTGCAGTTGATTTCCGTCCAGAATGGTGCGCCTGTTCCTTCTAATGGTGGTACTAGGCCACGGTGCTTTGTCATTCTCGCTAGTGAAAAGATCGGTAAGTTTTCTGTCATGTAGGGAAGAGGTTGATGAATATTATTCTGTATTTGGATGAGACGTGAACCGATTTTAAGCATAGGCCTACATTTGCAAATTTCAACAACTTTCTCTTCTAACCTATAGGCCCTAAGCCTACGAGACGTGATAAACATTGTGTATTTGCTCTCTTAGCCACAAAAAAGTCTCTAAATGTCCTCCATGAACAGATGAAATCGATGATCTTCTAGCCATATACTAGATTTCGTTGTGCATGTTTTCCTCATATGTTCTTCGAGACAGTATTACTGTTGAGCTTGAGTTCTCAACCTATATGCATAGTGACACAACAGAGAGCGTGAATGGATAACAGAATTTATTCATATGATGGCCAGCCACGAATAAGCAGAAAATGTATAGAAGGTCATATCATAACTTTCATTTTCATTTTTCTTGTTTGTGAATTATAAATGTGTCATTTAATTGAAAACAGTTCAAGGTAGGTTGCTTTGCCATGAAAGGGCCGCCTTGCGCTTGCAATATTTCTTTTATAGTTTTGATTTTGCAATATTTCCTAATGGTATACTTTACTGTGATTTGTCAGTTTGTTCCAAAGGATTGTAATTGCTTTTAAATCTCCCTCAACCTTGTCCTCAGTATACTTTGTTTTGACTACATTCCAATGATAACCCCTTGATGAGTCAAAGATCAAAGTAAATTCTGTAGACCTTGTGTTTAAATTGTTTATTTATATTTCAATATGCAAGCATTTTTTCTCAAAAATGTTTATATTCTACCTAAAATCTTCTCTATCTGATATTACTAAAAAGAGACATGAGCGGAGGGGGACTTGGTGGGAGATGGATGGGATAATGGGGTGGAGGCAGAGGAGAAGAGGAATGAGATGATGGAAGGGGTCTAGAAGGAGATGGATGGGATGGAGATGGAGTGGAACATTGATTGGATGAGGTGGATCAGGGAATGAAGGGGGTGGGAACGGAGTAAAGAGAGGCACCTGGTGATAGACAGGGGTGGATTAGGGGAAGGATTGAAAATTAGCGTGAGGACGGAATGATGAGAGTGCCATTATATAAATCCACAATCTACCCATTAAATCAGCTATTTTGTACACTTGATGTGTATGAATTAAAAACGTGTATATCTCTTATAACATGAGCTTTTTTGGAGTAAGGAAATCAAGATTCATATGAAGCAGCGAGCCATGTTGATTAGACCGTTCTAGTTCCAGTTTGTATTTTAACCTCTACAATTTCTGCACTTAGCTAAAGGCCACTCTTAGTTTACGTACGTTTGCAAAATCGTAGAGCATGGATGGGAGACCTCGTTACTTTTTTTCGTCGGTGACATTTCCCCGAGGTGCAACATTTCCTTTGTAATTCAACGATGACATCAGTTTCTTTCAATTTCTCTGTTGAAGGATACACTGTACCACGACTTAGAACTGTTGCAACGTCTCCTGGAGACAGACAACTCGGAAGACAAGCCGGATAAAAGAGGTCACATTTTTGGTCACCTTTATGGACACAAATGTAGATACAAGATGCGTGAGCTTTATCCAAAGAAGCGTTTTCATATAGAAGATTTATCAGAACATACAAGCAGATTGCCTTAATGCCTATTCGATGTCTTTAGCGTGAAACGGGAAAGATTTGTAAGACATGCAATCTGTTTAATGTCGATAAAGCCAAATGAAAGAGATTTATACAATCTATTGCAAAGTTAATGTGACTAGATATACTTCAATTAAAGGCACTTCTTATGCGCTCCAGTAATCGTTTTGTTTCCCAAAATATTTACAGTCACGTGCCCAAAACCCTGCGTCCATGGCACATGCTATAAATCAAGATATTGTAGAAGTTGCTCACCTCGTTGCAAATGTGACAAAGGTTGGGAGGGAGACGATTGCTCATTACGTAAGTACGGTGGGATTGACTTGAGCATATAATGCACCTGAATTAGCATACATCATGCATGTTAATAATCGAGACTCGAATTCCTATTTTTGCTGTTAATAAACATGCTAAGATTAAGCTCATGCAGTTTAGAGAGAGTGGCTTGTTAAATTGCCAATTTTCAAGTAATTAAACAAGATCAGTTTTGAGTACAACCTGAGCAGTAGAAACGGCACATTTGCAATACAGTTTCTGATGTTATCTAATTAAACAAATAAGTTTCCCCGTTCCTCTCTACGTTGACCTTTTTGGATGTTTTATAATTTCTTTAGCCATTGATGAGTGTCGTAGCAATCCTTGCCAGAATGGTGCAACCTGCGTAGATCGTGAGGCTGACTATACCTGTTTGTGTGCGGAAGACTACATAGGCCGATCCTGCGAATATTGTAAGCCAAGAGATCATGGCATTTGGTGATGTTCTCACTCCCTCCAAATCACTTACCTCGGACTTATTCGGACCTATGAAATGATGATACTTCACACGTATGCCATAGACGCGGTTCCAGGGGACGCCAGGGGGCTTTAGACCTCCCCCTAATCTGTGTCTAGCCCCCCCTTACAAATGCAAAAATGAAAAGCAGTAGCGAAAGTTAAAAGGTAACGTCCCCTGTGAAAGGCTATAGTCCAGTCAAAATTGGCTCTAGAGCGCGCCTGGTCTGTCTATTATATGAAACCAGAGGAAATCCAAGTCAAGTTTTTTTTAAATGCACATGCGAACTCCTCCCTCGAATGTCTTGATGTTAGATCCAAATAAAAAAAAACTTTTTCTTAAAGAAAGGGTGTTGAAAGTCAATACGTTTTGATCTTTGACGCTTTTGAATAAGGCTTCATGAGGAGTGCAAACTCATCTAAAATCCTAAAACCTCACGAAGTTTTGTGAAAGAAAGAAAAAAAGGTTACCTGTGGAAGAGAAATAATGTGTAACTAATTAACTAGTAGACATGCTGAAACTTCCAAATATTGCAGACATGGGCGTTTTAAATTCCCTATTAATTCTACAGAATTCATTTATTTACATGCAGTTAGAGTCTTGTATTCTTCTTTACTCTTGCCAAGGCTAGCCATCTAATGATTTTTTTTCCTCAATAATTTTGATTTATTTTCCTATTTAGATTTCCCTCCGGATCTGCGATGCACGCCAGACACATGTAAAGATGCACCTTGTGTGTCTCGAGCAGATTTACGGCCATTCTGTAAATGCAGTGATGGACAGCATGGGAAGTTTTGTGAATTACACAAAATATGTAAGTTGAGCTTACAATGAAACTTTGCCAATTTAACAGGTCATTGAACTCGAGTTTTTTTTTCTGCATACTGTATGGGCTGGTGAAATCCACTTCACTTGTGCCAAGGCGTTTGTCGCTTCATGCCGTACATGCGTATGATTGAACACCTGACCACATCTGACATAAAGTAACTTTAAGTCGGAACCCGGTCGATTAACTTACATGTACTAATACAAGAGCCACATCAATGAATTTCGACTGAAAGTCGCGGACATAACACTTCTATCAAATGGCTTGTCTAAAAGAGCTGTTTTCTCTTGATCGTTTGCTTTGTTATCACACGAAAGCATTATTATCACAGGTCAGACGCGCCTTGGGATATATCACTTTAGTAATTAAAAACTGACTTGATCAAAGTTGGATACTCGATATTAAGAAAATGTTATCTAAAATATCAGAATTTGCCTGGCTTGGGCGAGCACGGAACGGCGTCCTTAACTATGGACCGAGCGTGAAAATAGTTTCAAAGGGTAAATTTATTGATTTTAATGTAGTATTTTAACATAACAGATTAATTGTAATCGAATGTCAGAAAAATATATATACGCGCTTTATTTTGTACACGCCTTGGCACAGTGTATGTGCGCTGTGAAGGGTGACTGGAGGGCTCAATTCAGTGATTATGAAAACGTCAATTTGGGCAGCGATCCCAAACTCACTTATTATGTTCATAGTTCGCAGCCGCGCTGTGCACTAAAATAGCTAAACTACAAAGGGCATCTAGTAGGCCTACTTTATACAGCCGATGCAAAAGCAGCAGCACACCACTATTGGGAACTTTTTCATTTCTTTTTCATACGGTCGGCCAACCACATTAAGAAGCACAGTGCCATGGTCAACGCTAGTATTTATTCTACCATTTGACAGACAATTCAGATTGCATCTCTGAGGGGTGATTTTTTACTGATTTTTCAGAATTTGATGGTCTTTGAAATTCAGGTTATAACACGATGACGTCGGCGTTCAAAGTGACATTGTTTTTAAGGTCACAATATTTTAAACTTCTGAAACTAGAGAGCTTGGAGTCCTCTTGGGTTCAAATTTTGTATGTGTGTTGACGTGGATGTGTCAGCTAAAAATTGAGTCACGTCGTGACATTGTCATCGTGGGTCCTTTGATAGAACCTAAAAGGATCAACTTTAATGTCCAATAATGAGAGAACTGTCCGTCCTAGCCAATGCATGTACTCTAGCGTGCAGGTAGAACGAGATGTGTAAAAAGTTACCATCTAGTTGACATTTTTATTGCGTCATCATTTGTCATGTGACGTCATCTTTAAGGTGCACAGTTTAAGGTTTTTGTTACTAGAAATTGTATATATCTGCTTGATTCAAGGCCAAGTAGCTCTCGTTGAGTTTAATGGAAGTGCATTGTATGTTTATGTTTGTAATGCGAATGGGCACACTTAGATTTCCTCTTTCAGTCTTGGATAGTTTATGATAGACCCAGTTGTTCATTAGAGGATTTTGACTAGTTTCGTTAGACAGTTTATCATCTGGAATACAATACCACAAAGGCAACTGTATTTGTGTGGCTTCAAATAATGGGCAGATAGCTGCAAATGTTAATCCTAAAGCTGCAGAAAGTGTAAACACTGCTTTTACTCTGCGAAATCATTATTTAGATATTATTTCCCCCCGAACAAGACACTTTTAGTCATTTTCTTTTCTTAAAAAGAAGCAGTATTTTCTTTTTATTTGTTGCTTTCAATTTCTTCCTTTCCCCTTTGTCATCTTTGTTTCATGGGATTGTTGTTCGTAATAAATGTTGTCTGTAATAATTTCAGGGGTAAACTGTGAGCCGGAATCGAATCGCTACATCTACGACCAGAAAGAAGGCTACATAACATCACCGGGATTCCCTGGACCGTACGGCCGCATGGACAGGTGTCCATTCATCATTGGGTCTCCAAATGCCAAGAAGATCGAAATCAAATTTGATGTCATTGACTTTGATTTCGATTTAGGTTTTCTGGAATATGCACCCGGTGGTACTCTGGATTTTGGTGGAGGAACGAAAAGTGCTCGAGATGTTTTAAACCAAACCATTGTTATAAATGATGACAAGGTGTCTATCTTCTTTCAGTCTAATGACAACCGACATCAACTGCCAGGCTTCCGCATGCATTACAAAATCAGTAAGTACGTCAAATACCAAATGTCATTCCAAAGATGGACTTCCTTAAGTTTCCAACGTTTCCGATATTTCGAGATCGAGTGGAACAGGTCACCTATGAGCTGAAGCTGATGTCAAACGTTTATGCGCATGCTTTACCATGCCTCACATCCATGGTCCAAACCTGGCTCCCATAAAAAAAGCATATGGAAAATAAAGCTGAGTAGCAGCGGATCATGAGCCAATTGACTGCGTACAAAATGTAAATGTGCCTTCCACGAGAGCAAGAATACGAGTTCAACGCAGACGCTTATTGCTGTTTGAATAATGTTAATACAATATTTATTGTGCTTACTACCAGAAATGGATGTCTAACCATGATCTCAGACCTCTCTCGATTGAGGCCAGAAAAAATAAGAGCTCACCTTTAATCGATATGATTGACTGTTTATAATGTATAAGCTCTGAAAATTAATTTATATAACGGGTTTTGCCCTTATCCAACGTATATATTGAAAAACGCTGTATGCTCAGTGCCTGTCCGAAAACTGGGACTCTGGTGGGACTCGAGTCCACGACCTCCTGCTTACTAATGCAGACGTCTTAACCACTCGACCACCGAGCTTGCCGGGGTCGGCTGACCAGTCCGAGTTAGGTGAAGCAGCGGGTACCGCGAACTATTTTCTAGATTTTCTTAAGGGCAAAACCCGTTATATAAATTAACATCTCCCCAACGTAAAAATACATATCTGAAAATTAGCCTGAATGGTGAACTATATAAATGGATTCAACACATTTCTAATTCACTTCCTAAGCACAGCATTAGAACTGATACCACAGTCGCAAAAAGACAAGGCATCCAGAGATAACGACATTGAATATTCCGTTCTTTGATAGCTTGTCTGATAGCCTCTTTTGCTAGATTTTCTTCTAACGAATCTTAAAGGTTTCATAAAACATTGTTTTTCCCTTGACAGCCTATGTAAGCTGTGCTGACAAGCCTTGTCAGTATGGAATTTGCCGTGACGAAGAGAAGGGTTTCACCTGTGAATGTCCTGCCGGCTACGAGGGGGAATTATGCCAGACAAGTAGGATTTGATTTTCCAATGTTTTCATTGTTGGTTATCAAACAATTGGTCACCTTTCCTGAAAGTTTTCTTCCCTCTCGCTTATAGTAATAAATGAGTAAATAAAACCTCCCAGGAAAGGTAAGTCATTAGACTCTTAGACGTATGGCAGCTAGACACAATAGGGGGCGCTATTTGAAGTGGGTTGGGGCAAAAAAAGATTTCCAAAACCAAATAGCGCCCTCCTATTGTGTCCGCCGTGCTTCTAAAAGGCCGATGGAGGTGACTCGAGAGATTCGGTCAAGACATCTACCCCCTTGCGTAAAGACTAAAACTTGTTGGTAACTTGTAGATCCAGGATTCTCTCCAAACAAGCTATACCTCGCCCCAAATTAAATTAAGTAATGACATTCGATTGTTGGGTAAGTGACTTATGGAAGATCTAGAGTATTTTTTGGTAGAATTTCTTAATTTATGCGCAAGCCAGTGGCTTTTCCAGGATTTTGGGTCTCAGCGGAGGGGAAGGGAAGGGCAAATGAAAACATTTTGAAAATATTCTCCCTTTTTTATTGCTATATGAATATTTGTTACTGCACCCCCGAACCAAAGATGGCCGTACCTTTTGAACAGAGGCTGCTGCTTTTAATTCCTACAAACAAAATGTTTCTTGGGGTCAGCTTACTCCGAACTACCACCTTCGTTGGCCATATTTCATTTACTTAATAAGATTGGACATTTTAACACAGATATCGACGAGTGCGCTAGTAATCCCTGTAAGGAAAGCTCTACCTGCGTGGATGGTGATAATGGATTTTCCTGCAAGTGTGCCGAGGATTTTACTGGGACTCTATGTGAAACAAGTAATAACGAAAAATGGTTATGTATGCAGTTATGTAGTTGATACATTTAGTTACGTTCTGCAGTGGATGCCCTGAATACTGAAGTCTGTTTCCCTTGTCTTCTATTGTTATCCATTCCATTGTTTATGAAAGCAAGCGTTGAAGCTGGAATGTGCCAGTCATTGGTAGTGCAGCTCCATTCTTGGCGTTTATTTCTGGAATTTGGTATTTGATTAGTATTGGCAAGCTACTTTCCCATTAAATGAATAAGTGCCATATCTTCCTAAATAGCAATTATAGATCAACAAAGGCATTATTTTGTCTTCTTTATTCTGCTCAGGTTGTGTAAGGTATTATGTGTTACCTACTTTTCTTCGATCATTATATCAGAATGAGATAAATGTACATGTTCTACTCAAAACGATATGATCTCGTTTCTCGTAGCCTGTCAGATTTCGGCGGCAAAGGCTAATTCTCTCCTCATCTTTAGAAAAAAATGCCTTGTAATATATCCTTGAACACAACGTTACTCGTCATGCTAATTGGTTTTACTAAACCTTCAAACACACTTCAGCCATACCTATTCATCGAGAACCCGTCACATAGCCTCCACTAGCGATACTAAAACACAGGGTTGATATGCGCCACCTTTCGCAGTACATGAAATAGGCACTAATCATCAATATAAGGAGATTATTTACAACGACTTTCTAGAGATACATACCGTAACGGGTAGCAGGAAGTTATAAACGAAGTAAAATGGTTGAAAACAATTTTCAGATGTTTAAAATTTTTCAAACTTTATCGGTTACTTTTGACTCAAAAGCTATAGAAGAATTTTTCCTGGCCATCACCCTGGCGTTTGACCTCAGCATTGTTGCTCTCCCCTCTTAACGTCTTTCGTTTAAAATCAGGATAACCACTCATAAAAAATCTCACTCTTTCCAACAGAAATCACACCTTGCTCCAGCAATCCTTGCCAGAATGGCACTTGTAAGGACGAACTGAATGGCTTCAGTTGTGAATGTTCACCGGGCTACGAGGGTAACTTATGTGAGACTGGTAAGTTCTTAATATTACGTCAGAATGCGGGATCCATTCCACCAGGACCATGAACTTGAAGCTATCCAACATATAACTATACATAATCATCAAAAAACTATACCTAGACTAACTCTTTACAAACTTATTCATCGAAAAATTGCAATCGATGTTGATCAATACCAAATCGATTTCTAAAGGGGCGAAATCTCAACAAAAAATCAACGTAAATCGCCTTTACTCAGACTACGTCTAAAAAGAATCATCACAGATAGTCTTTACTGCCTAGAGCAACTCGCTTGAGTTTATGCACTTACTTCCTACGGACATCAGGGAAGCTACGTTTGTAGAGCCCTTTTAATGAAAATGTGGAAGGATAAAACTGTATTCTGTTCTATGTAAATCTGGAGCCAGCCACCAAGCACCTGCAACCTTATTTCCCATTGTGGAGTTCACTTGCAGTATGTGATAGATACAGATGCAGATTCAAGGCTTATAAGCTTGCCCTTTAGTTCAAAGAGTGCCGATAATGCATAACATGCATATGAACTGCATAAGTGTAGGAGCACAGTATTTAACCCTAAAAGAGGCGGGGCCAGAATCCGCCCCCTCAACAGTGTTTCCAATATCTCCGCAAAGCATTTTATGAGGAATTGAGACTCTGCGCGTCATTTTGACACAAATCCTGCGAAAATCGAACATACTGTTCTTACAGTGTGCACCCTTTCCAAAACAAGTCAGCCCAAAAGGTATACTTTTCCAACGCGGCGCTCAATACACGCGGGCTGGCACGCATTGAGCCTTAGATTTCAAAGGATTGTATAACAAAACAAACCAAAACTTTGCAACGTTAAAGAGTGTCGTTAGGTGTATGCCATGCTTAAAAAATCAAGTGCGGCATGGCCAAGTTCGGGGGAGAAGGCGGATTCCGCTCCCTAGCTGTGACCTGGGTCAAGATAACCAAACACTTACAGAATGAAAGGCTTGGAAACAAAAGAAGGGAGAGCGGAGTTTCATCGAATTAGCTTCAGAAGTATTAATGATAAGGGGAATTATAGTTGGCCAACTCAATGCCGTGGCACCAGTATCACATTTTGTAATAGTGTATTACCGACAGGCGATTTTGAGTTAATACGTCTCGTTTACTAACTACCACGGGTAGCTAGGTCATGTGCAAATACATATTAAGATTACACATGTGTTTACTACCTATGAAGTGCAAAACTCAGTAACCTTAACTGGTGAATTAGTTGCTAAGTGACTGTTTGTCGTAACTCTGGGTATTTTGCAAGGCCTGTTTTAAGACTGGTGACGTAGTTTTGTGTATTTTTGATGCTACATTTTCAAGCAGTGACTTTATTTGGCCACTGAGGCTTGGTCATCGTCTTAACCTTGATCCCCAAGGGTTAAGTAAAATCATCTTGAAATTGGAGGATCGAGGACTCTCTAAACAGGTGTGCACAACTCCTGAAAATTGGTACAGAGTGAAATGAATACAGTCCTACTTGCCACCTTCTATCCTCTTTAATTTTTGAACATCTGTATCTGTCTATGTTGTCGTTCCAGACATTGATGAATGTAGCAGCTCTCCGTGTCAGAATGGTGCCGAGTGTGTAGATGGTGTCAACATGTTTACATGCAACTGCGCTCCAGGATTCAACGGGGAACTCTGTCAAACAGGTAAATTTGAATCCCTTTGTTTTCACATTTGTTCATATAAGTCGTATGAAAACATTCCTCCTTGTCATTTGTCACAGTGAAGCGAATGGTTTCAGCTGTGAACGCCCTCGGGGTATGGGATGGCTCATGTCTGCAGGAGGAAGGGGGATGCAGGGGCGGGGCAAGCTTTTGCCTTGGGTATATATCGTCATTTTTGAAAAGAATCTAAAGCGGCTGCGTTTTACAAATGTAGCTAACCTTTCATTTGGAAAATGAATTGGAAATTAACTTATTCATGAAAACGTTTGAGCAGTCATATACAAAGTAAGAAATAGGAGGGATGCCAAATCTAACAGCGAGCCATTGAAGCTTCTAATTCTGGCGCAGTTTCGATCTTTGTGGAATATATTTGTCAAATCCTTCTGAAAGAATAGATGCAACGTTGTATATTGTACAACAAGCACTAATTTACTAACACATTTTCACCTTATTTGAAAATTGTTACAAGGTGTAGACCAAAGGTAGTGCACACTGTTACTGTGCTTATTGGTTGCCTCAGACTAAACGATGGTTGGTTACATGGCTGTGAGGCTTGTTTTCACATATATGGAAAAATATTAAAAGGTTCAGTAGCTTAGATGTTTCTTACCATGATGCTGGTTATGTGAGTTTGTGCAACGCATTTGCTTTGATATTCGAAAGCTTATTTTCATACAACCGAGTACCCTACAAACTCCATGTTTCTGAGAAACTGAGCTTTAAATGATATAGTCGTGCTATTAAATCTCATTTAGACATTGATGAATGCAGCAGCAATCCTTGTCTGAACGGTGTCTGTCATGATGAAGTGAATGGCTTCAGCTGTGAATGCTCTCCAGGCTATGCGGGTGACTTATGTCAGACAGGTAAATCCACACTTACAATCGACTAATCCTCAGTTACCAGACTTCTCCTTTACATCTCTCTAAATATCACTTATACCAGGTTACAAATTCCGGCAAATTACCATGACCCATTTTGGATGCCAGTGGCCGTTAAAAATACGGTGTTGTACTACACATATACTTTCCACATTTTTGGCCATTCAGTTAGAATAAGTAATTGCTGACTGCAAAGCTCACTGAAACTCTTTTCTTAGTAGTGTTGTTAAATTAAATATCAAGTTTTATGTTTCGAAAACTTGTGCCGTCATTTCTGTTACAATGTGACCACAGTTAGTGTGGCACAACCAGGTTATGAACCGAACTCTATTTTTTAGTAGTTTACAAATATTCCAGTAACGTTTATGTGTTGAAGCGACAACTTTAAATACCACTTTATAATTAACCCTTGTCTTAAACAGTTTGGGAATATAAAGGTACCACTTTTGACAAAAGGCAGATGGAAAGTTTATACCATGAGATAATAAAATATTCATAATTCGGCTGTTTTTCTTCTTAACTTGGTCTACATTTCATTGTTGGATGTTGTTGCAGACATTGATGAATGTAGCAGTACTCCATGTCAGAATGGTGCCGAGTGTGTAGATGGTGTCAATATGTTTACATGCAATTGTGCTCCAGGATACGAAGGATCGCTCTGCCAAACAGGTTGGCAGAATCATTTTGTGATCACCTTACGCTCATGAGTGTTCATGACATATTTTGGAATAAGCCTGATCTGTCACAGATAACTTTTCTTTCCTTTTTAAGGCCGGTTCATAATTGGCGTAAAAGCTTTCATAAACGCAAATATGTGACGTCAGGTCAAATATTAGTGCCCCCAGCTCGCCGAAGTTGAAGACAGATCAACTCCAGTGAAATTTAGCTAGGCCCACACATATCTCGTGACGTCGAATTCGCTTTGGCTTCAAATTCGGCTGTATTATTTTCAGACTTGCATAACAAGTTCTAAAACTCTGTATGCAAATTTATAAAGTTTTCTGCAGTATGTTTATACAGTGACTCTATAGAGCCATTCAGGCTCAATTTTGGTCTTAATCTGAGAAAATACATTGAAAGTAGGCCTACTTAAAATTAGAAAACAGTTGAGGGTATATGAAACAGGAACATTTTCTGAAACTCCTCGTCTCTCATCTCTCCTCTCTACTTTTATCATTGAATGATGACATTGCAGATATTGATGAATGTAGCAGCACTCCCTGTCAGAATGGTGGCGAGTGTGTAGATGGTGTCCATATGTTTACATGCAACTGTGCTCCAGGATTCAACGGATCACTCTGTCAAACAGGTAAGTTAATTCCTTCTGTGATACCCTTTGCTCATACGAGTCGGTTATAAGCAACCAGTACACCTGAGCCCTAGTTGGTTACCAGCTTAATTTGAAGCCTAATAACTACTTTCGATTTCTGGAGCAATTGCACAGAATCAGAGATTGAACGTTTTTTATCGTAAGGATAATTCTGTAAATTTGTAAAATATTTGCGCTCTGATGTTTGAAACTTAAAAAAGGTTTTCTCGTAACTCCCTATATTTAATTGGTAACCAAGCATTGAATGGGGAAGAGTTGTGTTTAATGTTACTCAGACATCGATGAGTGTAGCAGCAATCCTTGCCTGAACGGTGTCTGTCATGATGAAGTGAATGGTTTCAACTGTGAATGCCCTCCAGGCTATGAGGGGGACTTATGTCAGACAGGTAAATCCACACAAACATTGGATTACTTGCCGGTTACCAAACCTTTCCTTTCTAACTCTGCATGTCGTTCAATACGAGTTTATAAATTGTGTGAAATACCGTGACGCGTTTTGAGCATCAATTTTTTGACGAAATTAGTGAAATACAATTTTTTTTCTTTACGTGAGGTAGAGTTGTTAAAATATTTCTGATTGCATTATCTCTGAACCTCTTTCCCGAAGGTAATTATGTAGGAACAATGCGATTTTATTATTTTTTAATTCTTTCGAAAACTTGTCTTTCCTTACTTTTCTTCAGGGACCACAGTTTGTTTGAGTTTTTAAGGTGCAACCTTAAATAGAATTAAGAAATGACCGTTGCTTGAATTTGTTATTATGTAACATTAATTCCCAAATGCCATTTACATAGTGAGAAGTGTACTGTCGGTAGTTATCCAACAGTCGACCCTTTTTCTATCTTAACTTGATCAAACCTCGATTCGTGGATGTTGTCGCAGACACAGATGACTGTAGCAGCACTCCGTGTCAGAATGGTGCCGAGTGTGTAGATGGTGTCAATATGTTTACATGCAACTGTGCTCCAGGATTCAATGGATCACTCTGTGAATCTGGTAGGTCACATCATTACATGAACAGGTCATTTACCCTAAATGTGTCACCGTAACACAGTTGGGGCACACGCATTAAAAATATGGAAAAAAAAGAATAGTGTGCACCAATGTGTCGGTTGAAATTCTTGTGTTTGGTTACACGAGACACTTTTCTCGTAAAAGTCGTTGGAAAGCAGCCCCCTCCGACCACCTGTCACATCGAACTAAATGGTGTCAACTGTCAAAGCTCTCCTGGCTAAGAGGTTGACATATGCCAGACCAATAAGATTTGAGAGTTTATTTCAGTTTTTGATAGCCAAAAGAGCCT